TATATAACATACCGTCTTTAACATTTGATTATGTGTATTCTTTTTATTAGACATTCTATATGGATTTTTAACCCAATTTTTGTGAAGCGTTTCGTACGTATCAGTTGTCAGCCCATTTAATGAACCATATCGCCGAATGGTATGAATAGTATGATATATCCACATATGAAGCTTTGGTAACTGAAGTCCACTAGGGGAGAATTGCGCAAATATATTTACAAAATCATTAGACCAATCAATTATTTCACGCTATATTAAAAAAACAAATTAGTAAAAAATTATATGTAATATTATACTAAAGAAATAATCATACTTCGAAGATTTTTAAATCATCTTCATTAAATTTCTTTTTTCGTGACGTAATATACATCTTAATAAATTTAATGTAACATATAATAAGGTTTTTACATGAAGCAATAGTATATAAATTACTATCTGTTTGGTTTTGATTAATTTTATTATCTGTTGTGTACAGCTCATCAAGGACAAATACAATAATCTTCATAACATCTCGCATTTCACCTCCTGTAAATTTTGTACCCTGTTGATAACCTTTTTTTAATATTCTTAAATTATTAAATCGTGTAATAGTAGCCAGTCGATTGTCCATTTTACTGATTATTCGATTTCCATACTGATACATGAGCATATCTCTTGTATAATCAAGCATATATGGAAATAATCCGATTTCTTGTAAATGCATACGATCTAGTGCTGCTGCATCATATATGTTCATCATTCTAAAAAAAAATTATAATTTTAAAATTAAATAAAAAAAAAGGAATCATCAAATAAATTTGAATAAATTAATACCTAAAATTCCAGAAAAAATTGTCATATTCGTGAATGGAACAATTTTCTGCATTGTGAGAAGCAATAGCTTCTTGCATATTTTCATGATTACGTAAATCTATCATATCCTGTTAAATATTCATATTATTTAATTGATCACCGGGCGTAAGACATTTATAACAGGGACATCGTGTACGATATGACTTGTAAGTACAACAAATATCCTGTGCTTCTAGCATATCCGCAATTATACTAGACAAATAAATGGTAAAGTGCTCAACTTTTCCATTTATTGCTAAGTATATACCATCCTCCTTAAGAAGTGGACCTAATAAATATTTCAAAGCACGATGCTTCAAATCCCGTTGCTTTTGCTTAAATTCCTTTGAATTTCGCAATTTATTATCTCGCGTAGTTAAGTGTGGTAAAAATCCAATAAGAACCTTTGAATCAGGTAAATTAAGGCGTAAATTTGGAATATTTCCAAGGGTTAAGAAAATAGGATACTCAGATTTTCGCCAAAGAGTATCAAGAGTAGTTCCATCAATGTAGATCATAAAGGCCAGAATCTTGCTAAATGGATTATATCTTTCACGCCACCAGTCTGCAGTATTTTGTTCAGAATATACACGTACAAGTGACCCATCCTAGAATAAAATTATTATTATAATATATCAAATATATCAACACACATACTGTATATACTTAAAATACTTACAAGACCATATTCCCATTGTTCTTCATAATTGAAAAGAAAGTCTTTACTCAAATCTGAATTTGAAACCAGACTTTTTATCGCATCATAAATTGGCCTATAATGTAATTTATAAATTTCTTCTTCAAATGTAAGGAGTTCTTTTTCTTTAAATTGTAAACCTTTAACATCCATATTATAAATAAATGTGCGCCCTTTTCTAGTAGATCCAGAAAGTTGATCGGTACAATGTTTTTTTAGTATACGTAACATAGAATCAGAGGCTGCATCAGAAAGGTGATATTGTGTTACAGCCATCATAAATTCTTTGTACGTTTCACTTGGCCATAATGTTAATTCTGAATCGTTATTCAAATCTTTATATGCATCAGCTAAACTCACGCCACAAAAATCTTCGCTTGATGCTTTAGAAGAGATGCTTTTACTTTCTTGCGATTGGGTGATTTCATGATATTCACTTATATCATAATCTGTATAATCATAATTCTGAAAAGAGGTATATTCATTGAAGGCTATAGGTACGTCTGCTGCATTATTTAAATCCAATTTCTTAACAAATTAGTTAATAAGTAGTGATTAATAAATTATTTTTACAATGATTTTTAATAAAAATTTATGCAAATACCTCATTGTTTTGTTTGTCGTCACCACTTGTCATTTGTAAAAAGATATCTAAACCTTCAATTTCATTCCAAACGTTATTATCAATAGTTTTTTGCCGTATATTATTATTAGAACTTGATTGTTGATCCTGAACCCAATTTAATGTACGAGAATGGTCGGTATATGAGTGAAGCTGGTGACAATGTTGGGTCAGGTCTTGTTTTCGTGAAAAATAACGTTTACAAAAGTTACATTGATACATAATTATAATAATTACACGTTAAAAAATAATTATATAATTATAACTTTAGTAACTTGGTTAAAAAAAAATACATTTGATCTGTATATGATCAGATCTTAATCACCATATGGGTAATTACCATTTTTTGATAAACAAAATAATTCATTCGTATCATATTTGGAGTTTAAAGTAACTTAAACTTCTACTTTTTAAGTTTCAATAAATTCACTTAGAATTTTCCGTCATGCCTAAAGAAAAAGGTAAATATTTTTTATTTAGCATGGCGCTATGGTCAAGCCTTAATATTACAGTTATATATATGAAATTAAGAATAGTCTTGTATATTACCGTAATACCGTTTTATATACAAAATTAAGAAAACATTTCGTTTATTTTTATTTAATATAGTTAATCAAAGAATTTCAAGACGCAAAAATTCTTCTAATGTAACTAATTCTAAGACAGCAAAAAGTGAAGCAAATAAAATTGCTGCTCGTTTAGCCGCAGCAAGGTCTATTAAATCATCACAAAAAAGACAAGATGCAAATATTGAAGTTATTGCATCAGGTTCACAATCAAGAGTAGCGCGTAATTTTGAAGATTCTTGTGATCTTTTACAAATACAAGAACAAGAGATGCGTGATGATAATAGAGAAGAAACATTGGCTCCACTAACTGATGCATCATCTAATATGAATACTTTGAGATCAATGGAAAATGCTCCAAATATTCGAATTTAAATTAATTGTTAATTATTTATCACTGACATAATATTGACTTGGTCTTTTTTCAGTTAATACTTCTAAGACGTTTTATTTGCATATGATTGAAGGTTTAAAGAGGAATTTGGGTCAAAATAAACATATATACGATACGATTCATGAAATGAAAACTTCGCAAGACGCGTTCCAAAAAGAAACAAATGAAAAACTAAATACTATTTCAGAGAAAATTAACCAATTAATTACTCCTGAAGATTCCTATTGGAAGGTAAACCTAAATAATTATTAAATACTTTTTATGATTTGATATACACTCTTTTATTTTATTTTTGTAGAGTTTGGCGTCAAAAGCATGCAAAATTCAACTACCTATTCTTGGTCTTTATCCTGATGATTCAGAATTCAAGAAAGGTTTAGAAAGTATACTTGAACAAGAAAAGCCAGGTTATATCGAACAACTTGGTTTACAATGGAATCAGTATTATTCGGGACGCATCAGACCTCTAGTAAGTTATAATATTAGTAATATTAGTTATTTTTTGTATTAATTATGATACTTTAGCTAATAATATTAAATGTTCTCTTTAGTGTCGTGACGTAATTAAAAGTCAAAGATGTGATAAGGCCAAAGATATCCGATCTGCAATGTTTGACATATTTGGCGAAAATCTTTTAACTCGAATTAATACTTCGGCAGGAGCTGAAGATATTACGGCTTTTAAAAATTCAAATAATACTAAAAAGGCGTTTAAATGTTTATTTATAAGTGATGATGATGGTGCTCTTCCATATATTGAAGCAATTAAGAAAAAGGCTTGGGGAAAAAAGAAGACTACATTGATGGATACTGCTTTCACGTTGGCAGTTTGTGAAATTGTTTTAAATCCTAGACATCCACGAATATCTGTTAGCGATAATGCTCTCCATAAACGATTTGATTTATATTTGGTAAGTAAGAGATGCGATTGCAATTCATATTAATTAAGAAGATGGTTGATAATTTATCTCATTTATAGGATTGTATCTGTAATTTTAAAGAAATAACGTCCGAGATTACCAAACAAGTTAGACAAGATGAATTAGGTAAAACATGTGATAATTCGGATGACACTAGCGAGAGTGATGACCACCATTATGATGATCGTGATGAAGATCAAGAGAATGATCAAGTCGATAAAGAACTTGGCGAAAATAACAATGATATTAATCAGAATCAAACAATTGATGAATAAAGGTAATTTTGATTTATAGTAATAATAATAATCTAATAACATTTATAAATACTAATCATATTTATCAATCGTTTTTTAGTAAATTTAACAGATTTGGATAATAATAAGACGTTATACAGTTATGTATCTGTAATCATATTATTAAGAAATTAAGCAAATTTAAATTATCAGTAACAGGATATGATGTATTTTTCTAAATAATAGGAAATATAAGTTTAATTTCGATGTATTAAGAGAATTTATACATAAATAATTAGTAAATATAGCGCGTTAAAATGTAATTTATGTAATAATCTATATTATTGTTAATCTATAATTTAATCGTATATAGTAATTTATAATAAATATTAAATGTAAATTAATAATTAATATGAAAAATTCGATTATATTAAATCCTTAAAGATCTTTGAATTAAAATTTAAAACCCTTCGGGATTCTTTAAACTTTTTAATTCTAAGGATCCGCTGAGGTGGGGAAGGATCCACACGAATCTTTACTATTTATGGAAAATAAGGATCTCACGTGGATCCTGACTCCTAAAACATTACCGATGCATTATTTAAATTTAAGAGCATAAATTTTTGTAATATTACATTTTTAGTGTAATATTTTGAAATTTTATATCACCTCTGAAATATTACACTAAATTGTGTCTAAACAAATTTTCTGATATTAGAAAGCTTTAAGAACTGACAGAATGACTATTCAATCTTAGTAAACTACAGGTAGAGCAAATGGAATACTATAGTAGAACTTTGTATTTGTAGAATACTAATATTTTTTTTAGTTACTCCTATTTTAATTTTTTTTTTTTATCCTAACTTTTCTGTTGTTATTTCTTTTATTTTCTTTTTGTACTTAAATTGAGATTTCGTTTGCAGTAGCAATGAATTCTTGGAGCACTTATGGTGTAGATTAGGAGAAGTGAACTTACTTTTCTAGTTTAAGTTCTTCACTGACAGTGCATATATGGTTACTTTATCTTATAAATAAAGAGTTATATATGCTGCAATAAAAAAAAATAATAATAATAATTTAGAATTAATATTTACTTTGAATTATCAAATTAGTCTAAAATACTATTTAAAATTTAAGTAGAAAGTTAAAAAACATAAGTATAAAAATAGATATTATATAAACTATTAAATATTAAATATATTTTATTATTAGGGGAGTTACATATATTATGTAATATTCAGTTTAATATAAACTTACTCCCCTCCCCCCTCTTGTCAGATTTAATAACCAATCAAATTATAATATTTATAAATCATATAATTTTATTAAGTATAACGTAAAATTTTGGTTATTCACCTCTCTCTCTTTGATAATTACATAATATATGTAAGCTCTCTTACTATATGAAAAAAAAAAAATTCCAGACATTTCTAAATTTTTAATATATTGGCCTCTTTTAACAAATTGAAAAATCAATAATTTTTTAATATTCAATAATCTGATTTTAATAAACTTTTTTTTAATTTGTAGTAATGATATTAAGCTTTATAAAATAAAAAATATTTCATCCAAATCAGATCACTAAATATTGAGATAATTGCAAAAAATAAAAAATAAAAAAAAGGCAAATTAGATCAATTTTAATAAAAAGTTGGTTATAAGTTTTATAGATATTTGAGGTTCTATAAAAGTAATTTAACTCAATATTGCAAGACTAAAATTTCTTTAAGACAAAATATTCAAAAAAAAATTTCTAAAAGATTAAATAATTTGTGTAATTTAAGTAATTTATATAATCACTGGTAAAAAAATGATTTATCCTACACATATCTTACACATATTGGGTACTCAAAATGTAGAAAATCATACACAAATAATACACATATCATACACATATCGGGTACTAATATATATATCATACATATATCAGGTACCTGATAGGTATACTATATATATAAGTACCCGATATGTGTATGATATGTGTATTATTTGTGTATGATTTTCTACATTTTGAGTACCCGATATATGTAAGATATGTGTAGGATATGTGTAGGATAGACCATTTTTTTACCAGTGAATAATAGTTTATATAACTACTTCTTAAATAATTGTTAAATATATTATTAGTAAACATAATTAATATTTACTGGTATTAGCAAGATATTCAGCATTTACATGCAATCAGCCTACTAGTATTCAAATTTATCAAATAAACATTTTTGCAACTATAATATTCAATGATTCTAATACTTGCTTTTCAAACAATAAAATTTATTATTGAAAGAACATGATTGAAAATAGGAAAATATATGAAGTATTTTTTAAAGTAATATAATTAACAAGTTGGATAATATAATTTCTTGCTTTTAGCATTATATTTTTTATTATAATTTTAAACTAAATCAATAATACATAAATAAAGCTGACTAGTTTATGTATTTTTTGCAATCCAATTATAATTACTGAAACCTTTACATTAAAGTGTAAAACTAATTTGCAAGTTAAATTGCATAATTAAATATTTATTACATGTCATTGCATTTATATACTTCACAAACATTTGATCAATTAATTATATTTGTATTTCAGCTAAGGAATTTCTCCAGAATCTCACTTTAATAAAGTATTAAAAATATATTTCTGGAGTACAGTTATAAATCAACCTAATTTCTGAAGTTTTGATCTTAAGTAAGTTCTTAAATAAAAATATAAATAGCAGTAAATGTGTAAAAAAAATAATATAGAAGTGTTTTACTGAAATAGATTATAAATTTTCTTGTTTTTGGCTTCAAGTAAAGGTGAGTATGCAGTACGATATCAGAAAAATTCTTGATGAAAGAATAGGAAATTTTTTTTTAGCAAATCAAGAAATACAGTTTTTTAGTTTTTTGAATAATATTATATATTTATATGTTTATGTTAATTGCTATACATTTAGCAAAATCAATTATATGGTAAAGGTAAACTACTATACAGAATTTTCTAGGTAAAAATACTATAAATTTGATTTAATACAAATAATACAAATTGAATTATAAATTTTTAACATTCTGGAATTTTTTTTTTAAAAAATATTTAAATTTTGATTACTTCTTATTACACAAAATAAATTCTTTGTATAGTAAAAGATTCATTCTTAACCAAACCAATTATAATTCATAGAGATCTCATTAAGTGTACATATTGTATTTCCTATGAATATGGACATATATTTGAATATTTTACTATTCCTTCATTAATAAATTTCCTAACTATATCTTCATATTTATCAAGATAATAATAAGTATTCTTAACATGAAAATAATTTAAGGGTTTTTTTCTAAAGCTTTCAAAAAATTGGTCTAAAACACGAGCTGAAAATGTCGATGAACTAATGGTTATGTTAGTCAAGGATTTTGGTGAATAATCCGCTAATATATTTAATAAATCATCACCCGAAGATAAGTCATCATCAGTGTAATCATGTGAAAGGTTTATTTCTACCAAATTTTTACAATTACTTAGCAATAAGATCAGATGTCTAGGGTTAAGATTCATATGTAGAATCTCAATTTTTCGACAATTATTAGCAATTGCATGAATCAAAATTACTATGTCTTCCTTATTGATACCATTAAAGAAAGCACGCGAAATATTCCCATTTGTTTTTCGAATTAATGTTGCTAAATCGTAAGTATAAATTGATCCCGTAACATAAAGGGATTGAAGGTCCGGAAATTTTAAAACTGAAAGATAATGTTGAAATCCTCTAATTTCATCATCTGTGTACCAACCAGAAATTGATAATACTGTTAGATTATCTAATGATAATGAAGGTGATTCAGTTAATAAGTTCAAATGAAGATGTTTTATCGTATTACTCTTTCTAGCTAATGCTTCGCTTAGTTTTTTATAATTTCTTCTCAAATCGTTGTCACTATAAATTTTTACATTCTTTAAATTTCTCTGAGAATCTATTAAAGAAACTAATTCAGGAAGATCTTGAGAACAATTATAAATAATCAATGTATTCAAATATCTACAAATTTTTGATATCTGATAAAGAGCATTTGAATTTACGGAATTAGGATCAATAAACAAACTATGTAATTGAGAGAAGCATGTTGATGCTCCAGGAAATAATGATAAAGGTTGTGAATTTGTCCAATTTAATTCTTTAACATTATTACATTGACTAACAAATAACTTGTAAATTTCTTGTTCTAAAAGATTTTTTTTTTTGTTATCATAATTATTAAAGTCTAAAACCATTTCCGTAATTCTTTTTATAGCATCGGCCTCTGGAAATTTGCAAAAACTAATATAATTAAAAAATGGAGGCTTTGAAAGAATTGATGGAGGTAATTTAATGCGATTATTAGATAAATACTGTCTTGAAGAGGATGGCAATAAAGAAAGTATCATGTCGAAAAAAATCGATTCATCCTCGTCTTCGTTACACCAAGAAAAATTATTCCATAATATAGGAACTACTACACGACACCATTCCCTATTAGCCAAAAGACAAGAATGTAAAGAATTTTTGTCTCGCACATCATTAAAAATGAGTATAAGACAGTCTATATTGAGTCGTAACATTTTGATCTTTTTGACCGTAAAAAAAAAGGTTTGGTAGCAAAAATTGAATATTTGTAGTATTTTGTTGTACAAAGTTACGCCAGAACGTGTGATACAGTTGTCACGTGTTATGTGGATATTATATGTGAGGTCCATCATCCAATCATCCATGGCTACTTAATAGAGAAGGCAGCAAATAAATATAGAATCACGTGCTACTGCGGAGAAAACCTTAATCATTAATAGCTTCGTCTAAAATTAAAGACGTAGCCTTAAAATATTTGTGAGCGTTTCCGAGTATTAATATGTTAAATCTTTTAATTACTAAGTCGTCATGTTAAAGGCTCTCTTATTAATCAGTCCGTTTATAGGAATCGGATTGAGATCAACTTTTAAGATTGATTTCTAAAAAGGTACTTATTTTAGGGCTTTTTTGGGAAGTTATGGCATTTAGATGACCTATATCTATCTACTTATTACCATGATTATAAACTATTGTTATTATTAAACAAATTCGGGATTGATTGTAAATGACATAATTTATTACCAGAAGACGTCTTTTTGTACTTATCTATTGATAAAGGTATCGACGAATCTTACTATGAAAGTAACAATCAAATAATCGGAAAAATTATTAATCGATCAACAACAATAGAATTAATTATACGATGAATGATAAAATTTTACTAATGTAAATAATTTTTTTAATTGCTGCGCCATAATTAACTCCTTAAATTAATCTTTCTTCAACTTAAATACGATTTAAAATTTCTCAAAATCTACTGACCCGATTTTAAATTTTATCGTATATAAAATAAACGGATATCTCCATTATAAACAGTGCGTTCCACGAATTTACCTTGTGTATCGTACATATAAATCACACACCATCTTTTTAAATTTCTTCGATTTATTGTATTATTGTATTATTATTTGTATCACCTTTTAACAGAACCAGCACCAATGTGACAATTTCTAATATATGATGGAATAATATTAATTACTTGTAAATCACGCCATAAAACGAGATTACTCCATGTGGTCAAATCATGTATGTATTTTCTAATGTTGATCATAACTGTTTATTGTTTTACGTTTTACAATAATTATTTAACGGATTATCTTTACGATGTTTCTTTTATTACATTAGCCGTCATTAACATTGAGAAAATATTTAACGGCTGTTATCAATTTAGGTGAAAAAATGTTAATTGGTCGAGAATAAAAATTAAATTATTATTTACATAATAAACAAGCAAAATTTATATCGTTAAGGATTGTAAGTCAGTTATTTATTCCTGTAACAATAAGAACAAGAGTGAAAATGTTAAATTGGAAGTTTTTAGTTTTATAATCATGCCAAAATTAAACAATAGAAAAAATTGGATGTAGGCAATTTGAAACATTTATAATTTTATAATTTATCTTTTTTAATTAAATAAATATATTATTAGACGAAAAATAATATCAACATTCAACAGTATGATCCAATCCATCCAAAATTCCAAATGATAGATTGAAATTTGATATTGTGTGACAAGATTTTAATAAATCCAAAATAAAAGAGTGATTTATATGCGTAGATGGTGGTAAATTAGATCATATGATAGATGATGGATAATATACAATCGCCTGGATTGGAAATTTAATACTAATAATTGAATCCAAAAATGTAACATTATTTTCGACGACGAAAAATCGAGATCAGAAAAGTCACTTTACTGATTGATAAATGATAACATGATAACAGGATTTACTTCAATCTTCAATTAAACTAATATAATAACAAATAAAAGTAATAAGAATATAATATTAATTTAATTATTAACTAAAAAATAAAGTTCTATAATACATTTATATACTAAGTTTAATATACAAACAATTTTTTGTAATTATTTCTAAAGTTAAACTCTAAAATTCGATAACTTGTATTTAATGTATAAGTAATTTACAGAAAGTTCTTGATTATCTTTTGTATCTTCAATTTAAACAAAAACAAAACATTTTTAGTCCTTGATTTTTTTTTTTTTAAAAAAAAAAATTATGATAAACTCTTTTTGTTATGATCTTACTTACTGAACGTTTATAATTGTAATTATTTACTATGAAGGATATGTACTTTTTCTAACCGAATATAAGGATCTAATATATTAGAAAAACATTAATTATAAAATGTATAATCATTTTCAATTCGTTTAATTTCTTACGTTTTAGAACCGTTAAAATTTGATGCTTCTTCTAAATAAGCATTTTCTAATTCAGAATGAGTTAATGAATCTAAAATATAATAAAATAATTAAATTATTAAATCTGACTAAAGAAATTGTTATAACATTTAAAATAATGAGTACTTACCTATATCACTGAAAGATGATGAGGAATCATTTGCACTAAGGGATTGTTGAGAATCTGCAGCTGCTGTTGGTATGTTCATCCCTTATATATAACATAAACAAAATATTAATAATTTCTCTTTAGGTTATTTAAGTTAAGTTTAATTAAATTTCTTCTTACTCAATCCTTTTGCAGGCTGTTGTTGTAAATTTACTGCCAAATCAATCGTTGGAACCTTAAAACTTATCGGTTCATTATTTTCGTTTGCACCAATAACATCAGTTTGAATTACTGAACTCGATGAATTTGGTAGTAAAAAAGCTGCAATGTCTTGCTTTTGCAATTTCTCCAATTTTTCTAATCTTTCATTCGAGGAATCTTCACTTTTTTTTGAATCATTATCTTCATCAGAATCATCATCATCAATTTTCATATTCTGAATGCTCCTAGAAAGATCACGTGCTTCAAGAGATAATGGATTTGAAAGAGTTCGAGAAAGAGGTATAGTCACTGATGCAGCAGGTGTGGCAAAACACTCATTTGTTGATGATGATTCTATCGTAGATAAAGTTGTTGAATAATTTGGTTTATATGTTATATGAGTAGATTGTTTCGTAACTTGATCAGTTGTAATCGTTGAAACAGATGAAGAAGGAGACATTTGACGTCCTGATATATTAGAAGATGGTGTAGCTTGTCCTTGAGCAAAAACATTTTTTCCTATACCCAGATGATCAAATTATTTTTAATATTCGAATAAAAAGTTAATATAAAGTAAAAAAATTACACATTAATCAAAAACCTTGAACTTGCAATCCTGCTTCATTTATCGATTGCGTAATGGGCGCATGTATAGATGATGATTCTGACCCACTAGCTTGTTTACGGCCATCTGTTAAACTAGTATTGCTCCCTGTCCGTATCATGTCCTGTGAACCAGCATATCCACCACGAGATGTAATATATTGTTCTCTGCTTGCATTTGAAGTTGCAGATGGTGGTCTTTGATGACCAGTTACCACTCCATCACCATCAAAAATCGAAACTTTTGTTAAAGATGCTCTACTTGATGCCCTATTGCGACTACCAATAGTCCCGGTACTAGTACTAGCACTTAAAGTTTCTCCCCGCCGTAATTGCATCTGAACTCCACGCAATTGCGTTTCATATAAAAATGCAGCATGACGCAGGAGATAAGGTACAGGTACATTTAAAAGTCGAGAAGCAGCATACCCTAAACATAAAAATAATGAAATATTATTTTTTTTTTAGAAAAGATGAGTAAAAAAATTTATTTATACTAACAATCGATGCTTTGCCGTTTGTTTTGTGTAAGTATCTCCCATAACTTTTGCTCCATTTCCTCTGTCCAAACAACCTATATGTTAAGATAATTTAATAGTGATACTTTATGAATGTGAGAAATTTGTTAAACTTACAGAAGGTGGTTCGACGAAACCCGGTGGTCTTTTATATGGAATTTTTATTACAACGTGTAAAGGCTGTTCTGAAGACATTTAAAATGTATTTTATTTTAGCTTTGATTAAACGAAAAGCTAAAGAATGAAAATTTTATAATATTTATACTATTTATGTGGTGTCACGCGCAAATTTATGAATAAGTAAAGAAAGATCGACAATAAGTTCCGGAATAAAAAAAAAGGTGATTATTTCTGATTGTATGGCTAATTTTATCTCGTGTAACAGGTAAATGAGTTTTTGCGGTAAATAAGGATTAATAAAATCTTATTCAAATTCTTATCAATTTTAGACTTAAAAAGTCATAACCATAACAGAAAAGGCTCTCAATTGTTAGAAGTTTCGTTCTAAAAACGCATCAAAGGTTACGGATGCATAATTAACATTTATTTCCGTACCAATAAGTGAGACATGATCACCGATTTTATCATATGCAACACTGGCGTTGCCAATCAACTAAAATAAAAAATTTTTTTTTTTGTATTTCATTTATTTATATATATATAATTTTCCGAACTTTCTAATTTATTTTCTTTTTTTTTTCATTTTCCACTTTTTTTACCCAAATAAAAAAAATTTTTTTTAAATAAAACATTTGCTAGAAGTTTTGCTGTCAAGATACTTGACAAGTCCTTAATTTCATCCGTTTATTCTTTTAAAAAAACACACTTATCTTTCCTCGAAAGAATTATATAGGTATTTTATTAGTTGGGAAAAATTTTTTTGTTTAGTCCAAAAAAAATTTTATCCGTATTACTATTAAAAGTTAGCTTTTTGATACTAAACTTATTAATGCAATTTATTAATAAACTAACCATTTTTTAATTTAAATCATTTCATTCTCCGCAAAACTATCTTTAATTCACATCGAAACATTCAACCAATTTTAAGAAAAATTTTATTTGATATCGTAACCCGCATTTCTTTTTTGTTGTTGCGTAATAAAATTACGACATAATGGAACAATTTTGGTCAGGTGCGGCATTTTTTTTAAAAAAAAAACCACACCCTTAGAACCATTATTTATGTTGTTTTTTTTTTTTTTTGGAATTATATTAGAATTAGATGAAATACTTAAACAAGGTGAAAACAATCAGGATTCAGCATTGAATTCCATTAATGTATACATAAAATTTGTATCTGATTTTAAAGGTAATTTTAATGATAAAATTTGTATGAAAATTTTTTTATATTGATACAAATATTCTTTCATAATTTTTTTTTAGATAAATATCCTGAATGTGAAACGGAATTTATGCATTGTTGTTACAAATTGCTTGTTTCATCCATATATCAAAATTTTTCTGATAGGATTATTGAACATGTTATACAACATGCAGCAAAAAAAACTGATGTTAAAGAACTATGCGTATTGTATAACATCCTATTTCTTGCCGGAAGGGAGAATAAATGTATTTTTAAACGAATGGTAAACGAACAAGAACGAAATTTTGTATCGAAATTAAAAGATCATATTGAAAGTAAAGATGGTAAGTTTTATTTAAACGACATACAAAGTTTATGGAGTAATTATTGAATTTTGAAATTGCTTTATTTTCTAGGCGGTAAATTGCAGCAAATTTCAATAAAGTTGCTTTTCGAAATTTGTCGCGTCCAACGATTATCTTCTGACGAATTGGGTAAGATTACAATTTATCATATCTAATATTAAACGTTTTTTTTTAATTTTTTAACATATCATCTCGTATTCTCTTCTTCTTTTAACAAGATTTAATAGACGAGTTGTTTTTGAATCATCTTCTTGATTTGGTTGAAAAAACAAGAGATGATGAAGACGAAACATTTAATTATTCAGTCATTTGTTTGATCGTAAGTGCGCAGATTATATTTTAAATTGATCTCTTTATTACTATATTTGTTAGATCAAATATTTAAATCACTTTGTTCAAATCTGACAAGTTATCATTTAATGAGCAATTTATGTTGGCTGCCATGTCGCAAGAAGAGGAAGAGTGTGATGATTGGAATCCTAATACTGTCTTACGAGTATTAGGAGAGAGAATTGGTAGTAGCAAAACTTTTAGCGAAAATGTGATATTTATGTTGAATCGCACAGGTACTATTAAATTTTGAGTTGGTTAAATTTCTAAATTTACACGTATTATTAACATTTAACATTTGAATTTATTTAGTTGATCATAATATACAAATGCTTATATTAAAACTATTATATGAAATATTTACCACGCCTGAAACGTACGAATATTTTTACACGAATGATTTACGGGTTCTTATAGATGTATTTATTAGAGAACTTTATGATTTACCCGAAGAGAGTGAAGCAGTAAGCCCATATTACATATTTTTATTTTAATATATGTTAATCAGTTTGTATTATTAACATAAATTTCTTTCCTTATAGCTTCGTCATACATATCTACGGGTACTTTACCCATTAATTATAAATACACAGTTGAGTCAACATCGATACAAACAACATCAGATTTATAGTTTACTTTTAGATTTAATTGGAACTTCAATGAAACAACAATTCAAACCTATATCACCAACAACAAAAAGATTAGTAGATAGATGTTTGATGACGGAATATTTGAATGATATAGCTCCTCCTCGTAAATGTGGTAATGAGATAAAAAGAACACCAACTCCAAATGCTCTTGTTATGAGAATGGATACTGCAAAAGATACAAATTCTTCAAATGGAAATGGATTTACTGTTGAAGTCGTAATTGATGGTGTTAAATCAATGTGACAAAAAACTTAAAATCACCTATCTTATCTTTTTTTTTTTTTTTGTTTTCGGATTTTTCGGATTAAATTGCTAAAAGAACATTTAAATGGAATCATGTACTGGACTCTTTAAAAAAACATATATGAATATAGAGAGTTATATAATCTATTATAGACATTTGAAAAAAAATGTTTACATTATTAATTAAATACAATTAATCATTCGCTTGTTTTGAGTAATATACTCTTTTCTTTCTTTAGATATTGTATAATATATCCGATAATTTTTTTTTTTAGAATTTTATATAATTATTATTTTACTTTTACTAATTTAATATCTAATCGTGTAGTCGGGGACATAATGATAGCCAGCAGCGAACTTAATAGTAAAAGAATTATTTATTAGTGCATAAGTATGAATATTAAAAATAAAAAGAATAATTTTATTAATACAGTATATAGATTTTGATATTATTACCGTATATGATATAAATGATATAAAAGATGTTAAAAATATGCTAAGTAACCGTTTAATGATACATGATAATCCGGCATTAGTGTAATACCGAGATATATATATACCTTAAATGGTGAATTGCCGTAATGTCGAATCATGGTGTCATAATATTGTTGATACTATTATTTCAATAAGTTGGCAATTCATTCGACATTACGGAAATGTTTATAAATATTTCTTCTCTGATTAACTTTACCTGATTTTCGTCGTCATGTGTCATATTTGGCGCAGTGAAATTGCATACAGTATAATGTGATAATTGACTAAAAACTTATTTTATTTATCTATGCTGAAACAAGTTTTGATGAATTTTTATCTAATTCCTAAATATTATTATTACTTTCTACAGTGTGAAGTAAACGTGTAAAAGTTTCGTAGTTACAACCCTTTTTTCTTTTTTTTTTTCAAAGAAACGTTGTAACACGTAGAATTTAACTAGTAAAAATAATAGGTTAATTAATTAATAAAATAGCATATATTACTTTGCGGAAGGAGTTTTCCAATTGTTAAATAAATTATTTTTTATTCGTTTTTATCTTTAAAACAATTTCGAGTCAGTACAAAAGGTACAAAAGACTACTGTAGAAAGGATTGATGATGATATAATCGAAAATAAATGTATAGTATGTTACGTGTATATATATATATATTTCTCTGATGTCGATTTGGGTTAGAAGATAACTGACGTGTACAATATCAGTCGTCAATTTTGTCAATAAGTAAACGTTCTTTGATTAAATCTATGCATCATAGATTCATAGTATTAAACGTATTCTAATGAAGCATCCTTGGAATATAATTTTGCAATTAAGCATTAAATTTTTTTTTTGGGATGGGGAATAGAGATATCGGTCTTCCCCCATCTGCGGCATGTGAGACTCAAAAATTAAATCTAATTTACATTTTACACGGCATAAATTATTAAACTGTGAAACCCGGCAATAAACAAATTCATGATAAGGAAATGTTTATAAAAAATCTTTGTTTCAATAAATTTTATTAGTAAAATTTGTACATGTACATTGTTCTCAATTACTTAAAATGATATCCTAAGTATGATATAATCTTTAACCAAAGTAAATCATCTGAAACTGAAATTTTATCATAAAATAATTAAAAAAATAACAATTCATTCTAATTATTAAGGAACAAAGATTTCATGAATATTCGGGTTTTCGATATTTAAAAAAATTGTATGAACTTCATTTTTTCTTTTTTACAAAGAATGTGTTTATTAAACTTTGTATCCTAAATTTAAACCTTTTGCTTACGTAAATCTGATCTTTGTCTTTTTTTGACTAGTTTATGTATTCATAATTCATATGCCGTGATTGATTCATGTTCATCACGTGAGAAAAGCAAAATATTTATTATTAATTGGTGATCCGCGAGTCAAGTAGCGAAAACGATAATAAAATTTGACGGAAATTTATTAATTAAAAGCCGCATTTCCGAATGTGGGGTTGTTCATGAATTTCTCTAGCCAAATGTTTAAATAACGCCATTTTGCTTTAATGAAATAGTTTTCCACAGTTTTCCCACCAATCTCATGCAAAAAAAACCATAATGTAACATTGGAAAAAAGTCCAATTTCTAAGAGATCTGAGATTTGAAAGACAAAAACTAGTTTTATCATACCATATCACTTGTATAATGAGTGTGAAAAAGTCTTGAATTTGTCGAGTTAGAAGTTATTACAGCATAGTTTACTAATAAAATAAATCAAAAATAAAGCAATATGCATGAAAGTTTAGTGAAATATAAAAAAATTTCCATAATTTGTACTTTTAAAACCTTAGTTTACCTAATAACATAGTAAATGCCGCGTGCTTCCAAGGTAAACTTCGTCAAAAAAAAGTTTTACACTTTGTAGCTTTGAAAAATAAAAGTGTGACATTTACTTTATTGTTTGTGTTATTTTTAGTAAACTATGCTTTATAGTTTTTGTTACATCAGAAATCATTAAAGTCGGCGTATTACGACAAATTAGTATATGATTTGCGTCAAATTTTATATGTAATTTCTCTAGTTAACTCGCGGATCGTCAATTAAAGATGTATCCGAAATTTTTTAAAGTAATTTACATATTATAGTACGCCGCATACATACATACAGTAATGTTTCTAGGTTACAAAAATTTAAATGTATATAATTATATTGATAATCAGACATATTATCGCAATTACCTCTTTTATTTTCCTATATACAGGACGAATATTTTAGAATTTGTATGACAATTTCAAGGAAAGTTCTTTCGTTTTTCCTTAATAAAGATTGAAACGATTAAATCACCTTTTTAACTAATAATATCAATAATGCATTATGAAGAAAGAATTTTCCATCATGTTGAAAATCTGTAACGAAATATGAGTATATGACATCAATATCAATCATTAACTTTTATTATTAACAAAAACGCAAATAATTAGGTGTTCTTTGATAAAGAGATAAAGAATAATTAATAAATTTTGTACTTGATTATAATACATTTACGGAAATAATAAATAAAATATTATGATCGTAATTACGTTTTATAATTCAGATGAATTAAAACTCGCGCATATGTAATACTGAAATGTGTCAAAAATTTTTCGTTAAAATTTTTTGGCGAGTGACGAAAAAAGCTTTTCGAAGCAATACTTTTTTTTTTTTCATTTGATAATTGTCGATTATAATATACATAAAATATCATATATATTGAATATAATTTATTATTTCAAGTTAATATACAATAAAAATGGCGCAGTAATAAATAATTTGTGATAAAGCTATCTAATCTTGAAATAGTTTTACAATCAAATCAATCTCATTAGTTTTACCAAATGTAATGCTTTCACTGTTGGAGATGACTCATACTTCAAGATATACTATTCCCAGTAAGTACTTCATAATGATATACTTACTGTAAATTGATTCATTTCTGTAATAATCTGCCACAGATGTATTTCTTCCATGTAATTCTGAAACATGTCCTACCGCAAGATTGCTGCAAAGTTTGAAATCTCATATTACATAATAAAAAAAATGATAATATAAAAAAATTAGAGCTGCGTAAAATGATAGTATATTAATATATTTGCTTAGTATATTAACCGAAAATTCGTAATTCGAGAACAAATTTCTTAATTATGAAATATATAATTATATATTAGTGCAATTTGTCTATAAGTTGTTATTTAAAATTCCAAAAAGGAATTTTGTATTTTGTACTAAATGCTATCCCAGATTTTATAGTTCTATTTGTCGCATGTTACCGTCTAGTAGCGCATAAGCGCCGAATTTTTCTTTGTTGTTTCATATTAAACGATTCTATTTGGATTTTCGTTTTTTGTAACTTTATGCACGAAAAAACGGTTTTAGTCTAGTTTATGCAAAACCGAGTATTATGAATGAATCATTATCAATAATAGATAAGTACTATTTGAGCAATCTCAATAATGGTATTTATTTAATAATACAATAATACAATAATGCTTAATTAGTCCTCTAGGTGATATTCATCGTCGTCAATTTTTAATTTTATCAACTTTACCATTGTTTTCTAATAATATATTCAAAAAATCCGTATCAAGATAATATTCTTGTAGCATATTTTCGATACTTTGAACACGTTCTTCCAAAGTAAAATTTTTAGTTCTTCCACTGACGAATGGAATTGGTTCGTAATTATTTTTAAGTTTCCTTACGAATTTTCTTTGATATTTTGTACATAGGCAATTAAATACATGTATTTGCAAAAATCCCCTAATAAAAAAGAAATAGGTAGTATTATTAACAATATATATTTACGAATTATATATATATAATTATTTCACTCACCATGGTGCTAATTTAGATGCTCCAAATAAAAATACAAAAATTCCAGATAAAGAGCTGAAGAATCCACCAATACTCGATATAATTGTACCAACTAAAAAAGTGATAAATTTTTATTATTTTTTAAATTAAAATTATTGTCACTAAAAATTAAAAAATAATTAAATAGTTACGATCATAAAAAGTTTCTTCTTGATGATGAATATCCATTGAAGTGGATCTTAGTACAAGCGTTGTTATATTTGGAGTGTTTAAAGTTGTTATGCTCGTATGTGCATTAAAGCTGGCATATTCTATACTCTTTCCACCTGCAAGACCATATGCATATTTACTAAATATTCGTTTTACAATTGTAGGTGACCAATATATGATATTAGTTTGTTCGCTCATAAGATGTAAAGAAACAGATTTTTTATATAAAATTCTGTCTGATGGATAATATTTATCTATTTCAAGTCCATCTAAAAAGCTTTCAGTGACGTCTAAATAGTTCTCAGTGATGTTAGGAATTATTGTTATCTTTAACTCCTCTTGATAGTTAAAAGAATAACGAGGACAACGGGGATCATTGAAATGAATATAATCTATAGGAACTTCATTAGCTATTCTACATTCTCCTTGTTGACCGTCATAAGCGTTGTAAGTACAATTTACAATTGGACCACAAATTTGCATCGTAATATTAATATTGGTATGATTTACTATAGGTTGTTTACTTATGATAAGATTGGGTTCAGAAACCGATTTAAAAAATTGGGAAAACTGATAGTAAGTATAAAAAATAAGTATGATAATAAGTGAAAAAGAGCTTAATTTTTTAAAAATAATAAAGGAATAAGGTTCAGTTGATCGTCTATTTTCTAATAATAACATTTTGAATTAAAAAATAACTCGCTGACATACTATTATATAAATAAAAAATTATGTGATATGTGATATTATGGATTTGTTTATATTCAGCCGTATATACAGTATATAAAAGCAGATGACATAATTCTTGAACATTTTTAAACATGAATTACGGAAAATTTTTAGAATTTTTATTTATTTTTATAATTATTTTCGAAATTTTGTTTCTTTTTATTTATTCTTTTCTTGTAAACTCTAAATTTTTATTATGGTCCACATTTCCATTCGTTTTTTTTAGTGGGTTATATGCAGTCTATAATAAAACCATAATATATTATATAGCATTTTTAATCATAAACTTTATTCCATTTATATTAATGCTTTGCAATATCTTCAAATTTGATTATTATTATGGTAAAGATTTTTAGCATCTGCGTAAATATTAATTTTTAATGAAAAAAAAATAAGTTATTAATTTTAAGTCTTTTTTATTGCATGATAAGCCATTATTGATTATGAGCTAAACGATTTAAGCGATGGAACAAATATTGAGTATTTAAGAAAAGTTTCGCGTGATAAAACTATAAAAAAGCAAAATAAATGAAAATACATTGAAGTATTATATACCTAAATATATGCCTGTGGTGATAATTTTGGGAATTTTTCAATTTATTTTTTGTATTTTATTATTAAAGATAAGGTATTTTTTATATTTTATCTGGGTAATTTATATCGTTAATTTTACGAATCACAACCAATAAATCATTATTAGGTTACGGAAATGGAGTAAGCCGGAATCCAAATTGGATGGCGTTAAGAAAAGTATGCTGACTTTATAAATTAAATCCTTTCTATGTCGCTATATTAATTTATTTTTATTAAACATATTAGATGTCTATATTATATACCAACTTGAAAAGATTTTACTTCTAATTACGATTTCGTTCCTTGGAATTTGGATATTAATGACAGAAATATATGAAATATTTAATACAAATCTATTACTTTTCTATACGAAAGTTCCATATGAAAAAAATTTAGATATATTTCTTAATATATTTGGCACTACTATAATTATTCCAATCTCAATTATTTTCATAGCGATACGAAGACGTTCAAGTAGTCTTTATTTATTATTTTGCATTTCAAGTGTAATTGAAGTGGGAATAATTATTTTCAGGTTACTATCGAGTTATCGTAAAGATTATGTGAGTTATAGAAAATTAAATATTGATCATTCTTACATGCGTGGTAATTAATAACTTTTAAATAGAATTCTTATTTTGATTATTTTATATTAATTTTATTAATTAATACATCCTAGATATCTTACTCAACATTGATAATAGTATTATATATAGAATGAGGTTTTTTATCGGTAAGTATATTGACTGAGATGTTTTAATTAAATTAATATATTAACGTATCGTTATTATTATTATATAATCATTATTTATTAGCTATACCCACATTGATTTTTCTAGTTATTTTAAATATTAACACATACTTATGTTATAAATGGATTGAAAGAAAATTTATTTCACAAAGTAAAATTTCACATTTACATTTATTATTGTTATTATTTTTTATGCTAACTTATTTATTTGCTTTAGTATATGGATCAGATGAAGATAAATGGATTTTGCTAAAAAGAATTAAAATGTTTTTGAAAAGAATTTTCAAGAAATTTTTAATATTTTTGGAAATAAAGCCAGAGCCATATGACCGTTTAAAAGAATTGGGTGTCAATGCGTGGAAATTTGTACCTGAATCAAGAATTTTACTATTAAATATTGTACAGATTAAAGATGAAAACGACGAGATTGAAAACGTTGATAAAAAAAATGAAGGTATTGTAAGCGATGAAAATGACAAAGATGATTATGATGATGGGACTGCAAACGATGAAAATGACAAAGATGTTGAGATTGTAGTCGAAAATACTGAAAACAATAATAGTAACACGGTTGTAGGCGTTGAGAATAACAAAAATAATGAGTTTGCAGGCGTTAAAAATTACAAAAACGTTAAACTGAATAATATAATTGATTTTAAAGCTAAATCTGATGTAATGATACGGACAAATTATCCTTTACGTAATATGAGATCATTGGATTTGAGTAAGCACTATTAGTCTTATGATTGTAGTTTATTATTCTATAACTTATTTCCTGCCACTTTCATTTCAAACATAACAACAGATGCTCAAGTTTCACCAGAAGAATATCGGTTTCTTTCGTCTCAAGTAAAATATTGGTTTTATTACTATGAAATAACAATCTTGTCAAATTCGAATAAAGATAAAACAATAATTGCTATTGGTCTCGCCACAAAAAAATATCCAACCAACAGGTATTTATTTTTGTAAAAAAAAAAACCTTTTCATATTTAAATTAAGTGATTTCTAATCCTATTTTTTTAAGATTACCTGGTTGTAATACACATTCAGTTGGATTTCATTCAGATGAAGGTAGAATATTCCACAATGAAAAGTATACTGGATCAAAATATAGTGATAAATGGGGAGAAGTAAATGATGTAATAGGTTGTGGTTATGTCCCAAATACTGGTCAAGTTTTTTTTACAATGAATGGTAAAAATTTGGGTGATGCTTATACCGGTCTATTTTATGATAAGTGGTATCCTACAATTGGTTCTAATGGTTTTTGTAGATTAAAAGTTAATTTTGGTAAAAAAGAATTTAAATATAAAGAAGCCAATGGTATGAGCGTTGCTGGTATAATTTAAGAGTTATTATTATTAATTGGTAGATGAAGTTAGATAAACATTCCTTAAACCATTTACTTTTTCAGATTTTGTTATTTTTTTTATAATATCTCGATTATACTTATAAAGTTTCATGCGTGTGGTTGTATTTTTGGTTGTTTAACGAACTGGGACACTTGGAAATAAAAAATGATAAAAATAAATATTTTAAAATTATAAAATATCATTATTAATGAATATTTATTACACAAAAATTTGGTAAGGAGGAGTTTTTTCTTTGGATCTATTTTTTATCGAAACAATATTAACATTTCTTTTTTATTATTTTAGACTCCTTCTCTGTAGGAATCCGGCCCTGGTTTCGAAACATGGATCCTTGGTAAGTTTTCGAAATCTTTTGAAAACTTTACTACATTATTTTAAGAGTTATTTTACTAATTTCTTTTTTATTCTTTTATAGAATCCAATGTTCGATTTTGGGATTTATTATAAGTAGTTTTGGATTTTGTATTAAAGTTAATATGATAAAAGTTCTTATTAAATAGTTGCAAGTGATTGGAATATTTAATGGAACCAATAGAGTTTAAGTAATCAGAATGAAAAGATATAATTGTGTGATTCTGTGTGATTTTTCCTTGCAAAAAAAAAATTTTTTATAGGTCTTGATTCTGAACTTATGGATTTATTTTAGTGTTATTTTTCAGCTTCGAAATTTGCTCAAAACTTTGCGCTTTTTTTTAATTTTAGAAATGGTTACTAACTTTTTCTTTCTATTTTTTTTTTTGTAGGTTCCGGCATACAGTGAAAATTGTAAGTTTGAATTAAACTATTTTTTATTTAAACGTTCTGTCTTTATTTGTAGGGATTTTGGGTGGAGCTTTTAAATTGAAAATACTTAGTTTCGTATGTATTGCAAAAATTTTTTTGTTCCTTTTTTTAAAAGAAATGTTATATTAACTGGACGTTTCTATCTCTTAATTTTGTAGGGACTTTGGATGGATGCTGCAATACTTTATTATTATTGACCGGATAGAGAAAATTGACCAGTCTATATTATTACAAATAATGGAGCAAATGTAATTTTAGAAATGATTTTGTGAGAAATATCCGTTTAATGTCATTTACTAAAACTTAACAATTTCAAAAAGGAACACAAACTAAATTTAATAAAATATTTACTATTTATTCACAAATTTGAAAATGCACGTTCTACGTTCTATTTACATTTTTACAATTTGTTTATACCGATTTTTTAGTACAACCGATTAAATCAGGTGTCGATTTCCTTAATATACTAATATGAAGTAACTTTATACATACGGTTTGCTTATACTTACCGTAACCATATCATGAAAATAATACGGTTTAAAAAAAATCGAAATGAAATGATTTTAAAAATATAAGTTTTTTATTAAAAAATTCGGTTTAATAAGAACCGAAAAAATAATTTGAAAAAAAAAGATCGATAAATAAAAACAAACGTTCTTATTTAAATTTATTTTACGTAATTGATCCCGCAATTACGGTTGGACCCATCTAAAAAAATCTCTACCCGGGTCACCTTGCAGATGGACCCGGGTGGAAGCCGGGTCAACCCAACCCGTCAACCCACCCGCTACCCACCCGTAATCCATATAAAAAAATTACTATTTACATTCAGCTGTAGCACATTTTTAATTCAAGATGTACGATGTGGTGTAATTTTTTTGACCATTGATCAATATGCAATTGATTTGAGTCTTTAAGTTGAATATCATCTGATACAATGCAACTTCATATTTCCAGTTCCACCATCATGCTTGTAACTTTTTACATTTATACTCTTCACCATTTGAAATAAGTACTTTACAGATATCACGCCCATTTACAACCTGAAAATAATCTCAAACAAACTTGTTTTTTTAGTTTTTAGGTTAATTCGGATCTTTTTTTGCATGTGGTACTCCAATTATTTCTTCAAACTCTTTTTTTATATTTAAAGCATCAGAGAGTTTATTGCTTTCTTCATCTGTATATTCATCATTGTTTATTATTTATATTTACTGCATTAAAATTTTAAAAAATTTTTTGTGAATGAAGAGTGGCTGTGTGGAAAGTAATTCGATCATTTTATTAATAATTAATACTAAACGGGAACTTTACATTACAGGTGACTAAACAGGTGACCTGACGGCGACGGGTTGACCCACCTGTCTCCAAATTATTACCACCCGGATACCTATCCACCCGCGGTAACCCGGGTATAGTCCAACCTGGGTCCAATCCCTATTGCAGAATTGCTTAATTATTTATGAAAAAAAAAAAACGGTTCGACGTTTTTTTTTTACTGTAAAATAATTAAATAAACAAAACGCCGAACCGTTTTTTTAAAATATTTACAATTAATTGTGGTACCGCAAATTAGTAATTGCAGATTATTTGCGAGATTGCGGTAACGGGTCGCAGCTCTAATTATATATCCTTTATTTCCTTATTCAGTTTTCACATTATTAGTTTACATATAAAGTGGCTTTGAAATTTTAACATGACGCAATGTAGAAAAGTTTAAAGTGGCTTTGAAAATTTTAAAATGGCGCAATGTAGAAATACTTGACAAAAATACTCTTGTACGCCTCATCATTGATAATAATATGAAAAAGTATAATTTAAATTAATTTGAAATACGCGTTATTATAAAAAATTTTCTTATATTCACTTTGAGAAGAGAAGAGAAAATTTCTTTAAAAACAAATAAACAAACTACAAATTAAAAAATTGTAAATAACACACGCAAAATCAATCATGCAATTAAAACACTTATTGTTGATTTTCGTCTTTACTATTGTTTTAGCGAGTAAATAATCACCTTAAAAAAAAATTTTCTTTTTTACTAAATGAATTCTTAATAATAATTTGATTCATTATATTGACACAGATGCAGCACCATTTGATCCTAACAATAAGATGGCCTCAGATGTAGATTGCATATCAACAGACTTTGAGAATTGTTACCGTATAACAGGGGCGGTATGATACAGATTTCAGAGGTTTTGACCTTATACCCCCCACCATTGCGTGAGTTTTATTATTAGTAGATATGTATAAAACTTATATAATAATTGGGTATTTATCATGAGTAATACCTAGGTATTATTAAAGTATTTTAAATAATAAATCGGTAGAAAATGGGAGTTCTTTTTTGTAGGGTACTGTGCATGGGGGGGGTACTGTGGCCCGCAAAATACGGTATTTCGTCAAACACTACTGATCTACTGCATTTTGGTAGAACATTTTAATAAAGAAGCTCGATTATCTATAATTGAAAATTAATTTGTAAAAACTAATAAATTACCTTTTACCGATCGTGCTCGTCATGATAGTCTTTTCGGGCACGTCTGAAATGTGTCAGGTTGACGGCGCAGTGTGGCGCAGTAATTTCAAAAAATCTAAGTTAAAGATTTTCTTTTCAATATAATGATTTCAAATTTACACATTAGATATATTTTCATCTGTTTTACAAAATTCACTTATAAATGGAAGGAGGTTTTAGAAGTAGATTTTGACTTTAGTATATAACAACTGATTTCATTGTCTTTGCCGATCATTTCCAAAATTGGATTTGTCAAAAAATCGGTTTTTGTTAAATAACTCGAAAATGGCCTTCTAAACCGCCCGCATATACTCTAAGTAAATTTGCAGTGCGGATGAAAATACATCTAGTGCAGGAATTTAAAGGTTTTATTTTAAATAAAAAAATTGCAATTTATTTTTTTTTTGGAAAAATCGCTGCGCCACACTGCGCCGTCAACCTGACACACATTTCAGATGTGCTCTTTTCGGCTGTAAAATATATAATGAGCTAGAAGCATCAAAGCGCTAGATGAAAATGTGTTTACTGAATTGTGACATAAAATATCACATTCGATTAGTATGTGTGTGTATTGAATAGTACGAAAAATTTTTGTGCCATACTAAAAATTATGTGACTTTACTCTCACTTATTCTTTTTATCGGCAACTGTATATATTTCGAACCTGGCGCAATGATAAAACAAAAAAATAGATAAATGGCGATTACACTTATACATGCATGTATATAATAAAAGCATTCTTATTAATTTGTTTTATTTAGAATTATTAAAAAATCAATGAAATCATTTCTATTATAATCTTTTTTTATTCAATTTGAATTGACCGATTCATGATCAATACGAATACAGAGCCACAATATTATGGTAGTAAAATATATAGTATACTAGTATTCATAATTATAAATTCAAATATATATATTATCATTGAAACATTTGATCGATATTTCAAGTTGTTGATTCAATTTGCTCATCCCATACAAAGAGTAATTAATCTAAATAACAACCTCTTTCTCAAAGTGTTTATATAAGAAAATTTTTTTATAATAAGTATTTCAAATTACTTTAAAATTACATTTTTTCATATTATTATTAATGATGAAGCGTGCAAGAATATTTTTGCTACGTTTTTCTACATTGTGCCGCCGTGTTAAAATTTTCAAAGCCATTTTAAATTAATAATGTGAAAATGAGGGAGAAGTAAGGGATGTGTATAAGCGTATTTTGCCATGTTTTTCTGTGTTGCGCCATGTTCAATTAAAATTGATATATAAAATAATTTGAATTGTATAACATGGAAACACTATGGAAACGCGTGATATGTCTGCGCCTGATCTACTCCGTGATTTTTGTGGGTTTCAGTTTTTTTTAGTTTATTAATCATTAGTTCTATTTGGTGACAATGCCCGTGATAAAATAGTTTACTATTTTAACATCAAAACTAATCTGGGACAGGTTTTACTTATGTAAAAAAAAACAAAGTTCGTTTTTAACAAAATGTTTTTTTTACATACTCCTGATATTTTAGCCGTAACCCGTCGCGTTGCGCCGGGAAATAGTATATTAATTGCATATTATTATAGTATTATGTATTGAAAAGAAAATTTTGATTTATGTTTAGAAATTTTGTTACTTATATAATAATTAGAAATTTGAAGAATTGAAAGTAAATAAATAATTCAAAATAAAATAAATAATAAAATTAAATTAAATAAAAATTTAAAAAGGTGAAAAAAAAACCTAAGAAAGGAGTCTGAAAGGTAGTCAGTACTACCCTTAGAAAAAATTTTTTATATAGAAAAATTCTTTTATATATTAGAAAAATTTTTTGAATGTTAATAAACTGAAAAATGTATAGAACATTTTATAATAATATTGAAGAACTGGGCGTAAATCGGCAAAATGTAAACACCGATAACGTTGAAAAGATTATGAATATCTCCTAAACCGAATTTGGTATAAGGTTAAACAGATAGTGGAGATAAAACCTGAAACAGCAAAAAATTTCTATTCTTTAGAGGGAAATTCAAAAAATTCACAAACTCGAAAAATTAAAAATCCAGTAACAATAAAGCCAAAGGTAATATTTGTTTCAAGTAAATATTTTATTTATTAATTAATAATTTTTATTTTAAATGATAATCAAGGACGCGTTCAAAAAAAGAATCAAAAGTGGGATTGAATTGAAACCACTAGACCTTCTAAAAGGGCTGCATTAACATCTCGTCAACAAAATACATCTCAGATCAATGAAGAAGAAAAGGAAAATAATCCTCAAGGTTTGGTCAAATACAAATTCTTTTAAAAAAATTTTCTTGTTAAAATTTAATGATTATTCTAAATATAAAATAATTCCGGAAAAGAAAACGAGCCTATAAATTTGTTACATTCAGAAAGTTTAGGCGAAATTCATTTAATTATTTTTTTTTTTGTTTTTTTTTATTATTTTTATATATTAAATTAAAAAAAAAAACAATTCAAGCAAAGAAGATAATTCTATTGATACGCCACCTTCTTCTTCAGGTTTGTTACTTTTTTTCGAGAAAATTAAATATATAAAATATAACAAATACTGATGTTAAATTTGAAGATCGCAAGTTATTTTGTGAAATTCACTATGATGAAACAAGAAGAAAATAACTTTTAATATGCGGTATTACTTTATTCTTCATTTCTTAAAAATAGTTCGGCCTGTTTGTTCTTAGTTTATAAGGGGATAGTTTTGGGAAGTCGGATTTATTAGATATTTAAGATTATGGTAGTTGGTAGCAAGAAATATATTGTATGGAAGTGTATAGCGCACCATAGTATCAAAATGAAATTTGGTATCGTGCAAAATTTCTTAAAGTGAGATAAATGAAAAAATTCGGTTGAATTTTTAGTTAGTTAATACACACTCGTGCGAATTTTTTCTTTTAATAAAAAAGTATCGTGTGGACCAATCAAATTCTGAGAGGTACAGGTTAAGAATCTGCACCCCCGGGTACAGGATAATGGGGTATAGGTTAAGGAAGACGGGTCACGTGACTCACTTATAGTAACTGGGAAATTATATTACGTAAGTATCTGCGGTTTTAAGATAATTTCAAAATAAATCTCCCTATTTTGTTTACGCAATGGCCTCAACTTCTGGCAATGCAGAAGGTTAGGCTCACAGTGAAAAGTTTATAATTCTATATTTGATACTGTTTATTAAATATCAACGTACGTTTTTAGATACAGCCCGTTGCTTACTTCACTTGTTCTCGAGCTCGTTCTCAGGTTCTCCTGACTACAAGTACACAAGAAACCAAAGAACTTGTTTTAGCTAAAGATCGCTTGCTTGCAAAAGGACTTGATTTGGCCAAAGATCGCTTGCTTGCATTACCTCAAGAAGAATCAGAAAAATATACAGGATCAAGGGAGCTCGTTTTAAGAGAAAATGTATCACTTGATGCCTATCTAAAATATCGTGAACGTGACCCAGATCTTTCAGTACTCATATACTTAGACAATGGAACAATCAAAGCGTATGAATTACCTACCTTTCCTCATTCAAGAGTATCAGCAACAATCAAAGTTTCAATGGGCGCATGGAATCGTGCGGATTTGGTGTACGGAGATGATGTGACTCTGATTCTAGGTGCAAATAGTTCGAAAGAGCCAGATTCATGGGTTCGACCAAAATATCGTATTAGGCCAGGACCCGGTGCGCCAGCAGCAAATAATCTAGGAGCAGCATACCCCACGATGATTATCGAAGTTGGTCACAGTCAGAGTCTTCTCGATCTTCATAGAAAAGTAGCTCTATATTTTTCTCCACGAACCACCATCCAAATCGTATTATTGGTCAAGATTTTTAAGCCTAAAGGAAACAATACCATTACACTAATTGTGGCAAAATACGTTCGTACAAGCCAGACTCCACTGATTCCGAAACAAGTTATCTCTTTTGGTACGGCGACTCCACATCAGTCAACTATAAATTATATTACCAATACCATGGGAGTACCTCAGAATTGCTTTATTGGATTTGGCAGAAGAGACCCAGTTACTGGAAACAACTACCCTGCTTGTAACATGGCCAATATTGGGTTATATCTCATGAATATTCCAGCCAATGAACTCTTTGATGGAGATAGTACCGTTCGCCCTTTCACTCAAGCAATAAATCAAGGATTTAATTTGGATCTTTATGAGATTCAGGAAGCAATACGTAACGAATTTAACATTTAAGTTTCACCAAAGAACTTTAGTTTGCTAATGCTAATGCTTAATATAAAATATTTTTTTATACCGTTATTAATTTGTAAATTTTTTTATTAGATTTTATTAGACATTGTAGAACATTTTTTTTGCAGTAAATTTAGCTTAATTCTAATATTTGATAAAAATGGATTTATTTAGCTTTATGTTATATATAGCAAAGCAATAAAATACATTTACCCACGCTATACATGTTTTTCGTCATCTTTCTGAACATGCATGATGCTTTGGCAATCTTATTAATGCATTGGTATCTTTGAAAGAAATGGTTCATCAAATATATAAAAGTTATGTAAACTGTATGTGTTAACGTGTATTGATTCTCATATTTTTGATCTTGGCAGAAGATTTGTTCTGATGAAAGTACTGATGAAATCATTGCCAACCAAGAATGCGCGTGAATTGCGTGATTTACAATTATTAGTCACAAAAATTTCTCCGCGAAATGGTAATATCTATACTGTACAACAAGAAATTATTTTTTACCTGAACTCCTGAAGATCTTGTCCTCAAGACACCATACTTCCTCTACTGTAGGGCAAGTAGTTGAATCACAGTTAATTGGTTCACACAAAAGTTAGATGCCATGTGCACACGTTGAAGTTGTAAGATCATGGTTATCCTAATAGAAGAGGTGTATGGATGCTAACCCTTCCTGTAGGGCAAGTAGTTGAATCAAAGTTTAATTGGTTTACACGAAAGTTGGATGCCATGTGCACATGTTGAAATTGTAAGGTCATGGTTATCCTAATAGGCTGGATACATAGTCTTGATGTTTGGAAGATTTAAGAATTGCCAATCAAAGACTAAGACATATTATTCAAGAAGCTACACAATTAACTATTGAAAAACAGGAATTAGAAAATAATATTTCAATTGCAGATAATTGAATTTATTACTTGAGCTTTTTATTCGTATTACATAATATTAATCATTCGAAACAGAAACTACTTACTAATACATTTACTTCAGATAAGAATTTTATTTACACAAATTTTGCCAAGAAAATTTTTTGATCAGTCCTGGTGTTGGGAAAAACTTTATTAATTTTTCAATAATTTCTTTGTTCTCTCTTTTTTAAGAAGTTTGACGCTTAATTTATTTCTATCACTATTGCTAACTATGAGATTCTCACCCCACACTCTTTTATTATACTAGATTTCCGAAATAAATTTTCCCACACATATCTACAGAATTTTCGTTTATCTATCACTCTCACCCGCAGACAGTATAAAAAATTATTTTCCGCAAGAAAACTTCTCTGGGATTAAGTAACTTCGAATCTACAAGCATAAATTCGGGAGATTAGCAACCGATGTAATAAAAAAATAATATTTCTGATTCACACTTACCACTACGATTCATTTTCACAACATTCCATTCCGCCTTGTATTTAGGAAATTTGTTGATTAGAGCATTAAGTTAGCCAAGCAATAAACAACTTTATTATTACTTTGCGGAAAATATGAGTTCGTTTGATTGTTAATATCAATGATTTTAATAATGGTAAGCTTGATTGGTTTGTTTTACTTGTGCAAGGCGGATAAAAGGATTCATTAACAGGGACATCACCTTTTTATACAATTTGCAGGATCGATCATGGAATACACTTTGGGGAAAAATTATGTTAATATGATCACATCACAAAAATCTGATCAACGGACTCTCCTTAATTTAACAATAAAAGAATTTAACGCTATCCACATGTAAAGATCATCAAGGGATTCTTTTACAATAATATACGTAATAATTTTGAGAATATGCAAGAAAGTTTTCCTGGATCTTCACTGGCAATCTTATTGCCCAATAATTTGCCAATCCAGATTTCCTAAATTACCATGTGTCAATATATATATGTACGCTCGAACAATAAAAAATTAGTATATATGATCTAAAGATTGTTACCAATCGCCACGAGAAAAATATTTTACTACGTCAGGTCATTTAGCACCCTAAATGTTTTTTATTTGCAATACATTGAGCCCTCCTTTGATGCTACGCATCTGCAGGAGATAACCTATTCTAATGGGGTTTCTTTTTTTTTGAATTTATGAGAAAAAAGGGCTTTTTTTCTTTAAGGCAAAAAGTTCGAGACGTAGTCCATGATATATGATAATCGTGAATCAGGATCTACCGACTAATAATGACTAATAATATTAATGACGTATTACCAAGGTATTACTGCGCGTGATATACCCTTTTCAGAGCAGTAATCCCGGCAAAAGTATCATTCTTGATAGATATGCAGGAGAATCTTGATATGCATAATATATTTTACAGTAAAGTCTATCAAGAATAATACCTCATGTCTATCAAGAATGATACTTTTGCGTAATCCCGCACCTGTGGTGTAACCAGACTTTACTATTTTTAGTAACAGAAACCCGTCCAATGTGTGACAATAAGGTGTGACAAATAGAGATCAGACTGCAAAAAATTTTCTAAGTCGCTGAGATAAATATAAACAACGCGTTCCTCACGGTCACGTGACATGTGACAATAAACATCACCTCAGTTATACCACGGGTGCGGGATTATAGATCCCCTTTTCAATAGCTAAGCCACCCACGTGATTCGAAAAAAGATAGCCCTGATTTACACCCTTAAATAATTGGTTGCTGATGCGGTCAGCGGTCAGGGACGATGATTTTCTGTGGCAACAAAATATTAATTCCGTCTGCGCTAAAACTGCATACTGTGCATTAAAAAATACATTATTCTGCAAACTTTTTGTTATAATATTTATGTATTCTGCATAATTCTGTGAAACTTTATTATAATTTTTCAGTTATATACATGCGCAAAAACATATTCTTACTACAAATAAATGATCTCACTGTTTTAAACTACTGTTAAAGTAAAGTATATTTAAACTGGATAAAGACTCCATAGATAAATTTTGCCAATTATCATCTAAAATCGAATTATATTTAGAAAAACTTCTTTCTACACTACAAGAAGAAATTGGTAACCATATATAGTCTAATGCAATTTGGGATAAAAGGGGTAAACTTTCGGCAATATTTAACCAATATTCATCTAAAGTTGTCTCCATTAAATTTACATCAATCGTAGATCTACAATAAATTGCCCATTCATCTAATAAATTATTAGATGGATTGTCTAATTCTATAATTATACTACAGTATATTGACGTATATCTTTTCATGTAATATCACCAAGATGAATGAATTTTGGTTCAAAAATTTGGCATGCATGAAAAAGAGGGTGTCCAGGATGAGAAGGAATATGTATTGCAAATTTTTCATATACCACGCTATACTTGTAGCCGAAACCTCTCAAGGGTATGGCCGAATCCGAAAGTCCGAAACTCTAGTCCGAAACTAATACCGAAATCTGAAACTCTGGCCGAAACTTTATATAAGCCAAAATTAATTTTTAAATTTTATACTATAGGCCAAAACCTAAGAATGCATTTGTTTATTTATTTTATTATTCTTATTACTAATTATGATTACATTAATGATATTATTGTTATAATATAAGCTAAAAATTACTAAAAAATAAACTAAAAATTATAAAAAATTACTAAAGATTAAAATTAACTATATATAAAATTGATAAAATATTAAAATTAAAATAAAATCAATAAAATTTAACTCCCATTATCATCATTCATTTCTTTAGCTATCAATGCCTCAATATCATAATCTTCACGTTCTGGATCCAATACAACAGTTTGTCTCCTATGACTAACTATTACTTCATCTTCATCAGATTCATTTCGTTCCATATTAAAAATATGTGAATCAATATCTATATCTAAAGCAACATTTAGATTATACGTTTTAGACATGTCAATAATTGTATCAATTATATTTTCCTCATACAAAAAATCATAATCTCCTTCACCAACTAACTCATCACTAATTTCTATTAAAGTATCTATCATTTTTTCACATAATGAACATTCAGAAGTATCAACTGCATAATAAGGCAATTCACGCTTTGCATTTGTAATATAATAAGTATGCAATTTACACATACCTTCTACCTGATCTACAGCTAATTTTGTACGTCTTTGACCATAAACCCATCCTAAAACTGAAAAGGAATGTTCACAAGAAGCACTGTGTGAAGATACAGGCATACAGCAAAAAGCTGAAGTGCTAAAGCTTGTAATTCCCATTCCTCCTTAGTATTTTGAGCAGTTTCCTACCAAATGATTGGTGTATCTGATTTATAATTATAATGTTGATTAAATGGTGCTTTATTTTTCATATATTTTCACATTTGAGAAAGTAGTTTTTCACATGATTCTTGATTATATCCCATATTCTTCCAAATCTGTGCTGCTTTGACAGTAATATTATGGATCTTACTTGGATTTATACCATTACCTAAAAAAAAATAAAACAAGAATAAATTTATGATAAATGATTCTAATTATTGATAAATTTTTAAAATAAATAAATCACAACTTACTATAATAACGAGGATGCAAAAAAAATGCCAAAAGAAAAAGATCATCAGAAAATTTGTCATACTGTTCATTAAATTTAATCACAATAATTTTTAAATTCTATATTTTGGTTTAATATACGATAAACTGCATTTGCTAATGACAATAAATGAATATAGCAATCAGCAAATGATGATGTTCTTAATTCTAAACATCTTACTGTAACCTTAAGTGGATGAAAAATGGATGTAATAATTTGACAATTTTCATAAAAATTTCGGTTACAAAGAATATCTTTGACCCGATTTTTGATATCATTTCCATGTTCTGAAAGAACCTAAATAAATAAAATAAAAAATAATAAATTAAATAATTAATAAATATTATATAATAATTTATTATATAATGTAATATACATATGAACACTTACCCCGCAAAAGCAAACTCAAGTCTTACAATAAAATTAATGCAGTGGACCAGCGCATTTTGTATGACTTTTTAATTCTCCTCCTTTAATTTGTAAAATTTTAATTGCATCCTTCAGAAATTGATATGGAGCATGAGACATTGCAAAATACTGATGAATCACACCAACTTTCCGAACTGTATCTGCAACAAATGTGTGTTCGCATACATCTTTCGTAATTAGATTAATACAATGAGCCATACATCGAATATTAAGAATATGAAAGTATTTTTCACAAAGAATCCTTCGAGCAACACGTGCATCTGGCGCATTATCTGAAACTACTGCAGCCACTTTTTCAGGATCAATATCATCTACAATTTTAATGATTTCATTGCCAAGAAATGCGCCAGTATGATGGAAGACATCAGAATAATTCTTTGAACACCATAAATATTCTTTACGCTTCTCAGTAATTAAACAATAATCATAAATTGATTGCCCAGTAGAATTGGTCCACCCATCAAAAGCAATGGTAAGATTATTTTCTTCCTTAATTATTCTATTAACTTTGAGTGTAATTCTGAATACTTTCTGAATTATAAGGGTTTCTATTAGGACCCAACGGCTTGGAAGATTATAAATAGTACGTAAAATCTTAATAAATTCGATAAAGAAGGGTGTTCAATAAGAGAAAATGGCAAATTACAACATACAAATATTTTTGCCAATGCTTTATTATTTTGATCTTTTTTGACTAGTAGAGTAGGAAAATTTTCATAATGATCATCTATACAAGTAGTGGGATACCACGCTATAATATAATTATATTATAGCGTGGTATCCCACTTGGACTAGGTTATAGTACCACGCTATAATCTAAATATCATATTATAATCTGAATACCACGTTATATTCTAGATACCACACTATAACCTAAATATCATGCTATAATCTAATTACTACAACCTAATTACCACGCTTTAATCTGAGTCGTCGGGCTGGTAGTGTAGTCACTACGTTCCTCCACCTCGGCCTCAACGGCCTCGCAGTACCTACAT